AGTGATCTATTCACCTGTAGGCTGAGGTTCGCCTCCAAATAATGAAATACACAGAGAAGTTTTACATAACTCACTGAATACTGCGAAAAACTTACTGCTTTTAAATGTACAGTATTCATTTTATAAATGGCATACATATCCACAATTGTGCAAACAATGCCATAGTTCAATTAACCAGCCTTAAAAAGAGACGAAGTGGCAACTGCCTCAGATAATTTCAAAACATCAAAGAGCTTTTTAAAAATACTCCAGAAAGAAATGTATAAAGGTGTAATTAATATTGCCTAAAGCAACAGGGCATGCTAATATGAGGTGAGTCCATGTCACAGAATTTGTTTTTATGTACAAGACTGATTTAAAAAAAATCTTTGGGGTCTTTTTTTTTTTTTGAACAATATTTCAAAGCTTATTCATTTAACCCTCAGAATATTTGAAAGATCAAGATCATAAAAGAAAAATTGAACTTGTGTTTTTTCTGTATTTTTGGCTGCTCCAAATATTTTTACTAGTGCTATTACTTGTACCACGTTTGGGGGATTTTTTTGTTCAAATGACTGGTACCTGTTTTGAGCAGATTTGCATAGGATTTATCAATAGGATCATTTTTATTTTATTTGGTTAGTAATATGCACAATATTTAAGGTACACTTTTCAGAAGATCTGCAGTTTACTTTGAGGAGATTTCATTTGGCTACAATAGGACCATTTAATTATTTTTTTTTCCACAAAAAGGAGAGATTATTTTCCTTCCTTGGAAGGTGATTTTTTTGGTGGCACGCTCAATTCCTTTTTTACGCCAAAGGAGAGGAAAAAATCATTATTATGGCCATGCACATGGAGGATTTGTGATTTGGACACTGGAAATGAATTCATTGTTTTGAATATAGTTGTGTTATATATTTTATATTACACATGTGATTGTCTATATACACTATACATATATACACACACATCCTGCGTGAATATAATCATGTAAACTAAAACACAAACACTCACTACAAATGCTACTCGCTATCCAAATTATCAAAATACTCAGTTAGATACTAGAGAATGAGCAAGATGCTTAACCAAATAGTGTCCCTACTCAAAAACTGGTTAGAACTGCCACATAGAAGGAATATGAAATTAACATAATATTCAGAGTAACTGTTGTCAAACGTCTTTTGTATTATCCCACTGCTTATTATCAGCATCTCCAAAAGGGTTGTCATCCCTGCCTAAAGGAGTTTTAATACCATGTACTATGCTTTAGGCAGGGCTTTGGTTATCACCGACTAGGTAATTTTTGTATCCCAGTTTATTTAAAGAGCTGTATCACTGGTTTGGGCTGGCTGGTGACCATGCTGTCAGCTGTGTCACAGTGATCAGAACATTTTGGGCCAGATCCTCAATTTAGTGTATATCAGCATTGATCAGCTGAAATTAATGGAGCTACAATAATTTACCCCAGTTGAGGATCTGACCTCCTGTTTTTATTTCACACATCACAGGACTTTTCTTTCCACCGTAGACTCAGGTTTAAATAATCTGTAAATGTAGAGCCTCTAAATCTGTGTCAAAGCTAAGCTCATAAGTAAAACAAGTTTGGTGGCCTAAGCTTAGGCTGGGTCTACACTACCCGCCTGAATCGGCGGGTAGAAATCGACCTCTTGGGACGCGACAATCGATCCCCGAATCGACACTCTTACTCCACCAGCGAAGGTGGGAGTAAGCGCCGTCGACGGGAAGCCGCAGAGGTCGATTTTGCCGCCGTCCCTACAGCGGGGTAAGTCGGCTGCGATATGTCGAATTCAGCTACGCTATTCGCATAGCTGAATTTGCGTATCTTAAATCGACCCCCCCCCTGTAGTGTAGATGTAGCCTTAGTTTCCATTGGAAAGTAATCCACATCCGTATTTGATACAATTAGTTGTCTGTTCAAGAGCATTTAAGAACTAAGGTAGCATGGAAACTCAATTACTTTTTGTCTCTAGAGAGAGACAGAAAGATCCTGCAGGTCAGGGAGAACATTTATTGGCAATCTAGTGCAGTGGTGCTTGAACCACAGCTGTCTGAACTATAATTGGCCTATGAAAACTTAGACATGCGATGCTACTAGATTGTTAACTTTCATTACCACAAATATTCTCCAGAAATTAACACAGAATTCAAGCTGTATGCACTAGGGATCAGTTGAGCACTTCTGAGCCTCCTTCATGGTTTACTACAACAAATACATTCTTTAAACAGGCTGTACAGTAAATGACCAGTGTTGTTACATCCAAGGGGTTAGTTATGGGAGCTTAAAAGCATTTGGCAATGAGGGAGCATGTTAAGTGAGTTCTGGAGGCAGGCACCTTGTAGTCCAAGGGAAAATGGGACAATTCTAAACATTGTGGCACCTGCCAAAAATGTATTGAGGATTTTCAAGACACTAATCTGTGCTCCTGCAGCTCAAAAAAAAAAGCCTTTGTTTGCGGGTTTTGCCTACTTACATAAATAATGACATTTAAATCTGTGGAGCTCTTTGAACACCCAGATACTACACATGGAACAATTTTTGTTCCCTGCCCACATTGTGAAGATTTTGTGCCACACAGACTCAGTATGCTTTCTTTACATGCAAGAGTTTAGTCTATGTCCTGAAACATAATTTATAAAAATCTTCTTATATGTAATAATCTAAGAAACTCCCAGTGGACTATCCTTCCCCTCCTAGATTCCATTTTCGCAGACATCTCAAACATGCTCTCTCAGCCGTGGTCTACACTGTATGTGTGTGGGGGGGAATCGATCTAAGTTACGCAACTTCAGCTACATGAATAACGTAGCTGAAGTCGATGTACTTAGATCGACTTACTGTGGTGTCTTCACTGCGGTGAGTCGACTGCTGCCACTCCTCCGTTGACTCTGCTTGTGCCTCTCGCGGCGCTGGAGTACAGGAGTTGACGGGCGAGCGCTCTGGGGTCGATCTATCACGTCTAGACTAGACACGATAAATTGATCCCCGCTGGATTGATCGCTGCCTGCCGATCCGGCGGGTAGTGAAGACATACCCTCAGTCTCTAATGTATTGATTTGGAAAACACCACAGTGTCTAACTGCTTGCCCAAATTTTCTTCATGATGCTATTGTTCTCTTCTTAACCTGCACATTTAAAAAATCTCTGTGGGGTCAGTTTGCCAACTTGCTGAGCCCTTGCACACACTGTATTCTCTGACATGAAGTACAGTAAAGAGTTAATGAAAATTCAGAGACCATGTATCGTTAAATAGGATGTACCTGAAAATCTGTCGACAGTTACATTACTCCACAGAGATCTTTAAAAAAAATATGAGGGCAGAGATTCCACAGAGCTTGGTGGGGGGAGGGAGAGGAATGAAGAGAGAAAGGGGGGAAAATAACAAGTTGGTGTCAGTGAGACATTTATACGGGGTTAGAACTATATAGCAACCGAGGAATAGATTGAAAAAAAGTTCAGATACAGTTTGAATAAGCAGGATGCTTTCTTTAACTAAGTCTGGGAACCTTTTGAAGTTTGCACATCACTACTTTCTATCCAATTAGTAAGACCGGTGAAATAATAATAGCAAACAAAATTAGTCTCTGGAGGATTCTGCCAAATACAGAAAAGTAAAACCGGTCCAAACCAGTTGTTTCTTACTAGCTTCTGTGTTTCCTTTAACACTGTAAAACTACCTAATGTGATAGAAATTAATATTTAGCCCTTACTGTTCCTTGCATCTGCAAAGTGCTTTGCAAAGTTTAACTAATCCTCAAATGTTTCTGTGAATGACTATAAGCAAAGGACTATTACCCCCATTTCACAGATGAGAAAACTGAGGCAAAGAGGTTAAATAGTTTTCATTTATATAACATCCTGGGTGTGCATGTCCGTTCATAGGCAAATAAAAATATTCCTGCCCTGATTACCCTACAATTTCAAGTAAATCACCAAAACAACAACTATGAGGACAGGCCAAGGTAGGTAAGAGAATGCCAACATGGAGACTGGAAGATGTAACTTGCCTAGGGCCATGGTGGGATCTTGATCCTGCTCCATTAAAGTCTATGGGAGTTTTGCTTTGGACCTCAGTGGGAGCAGCATCAGGCCTTTGAAGTGCTGAGATTAAACTCAGGAGTTCCTGGCTCTCAGCCTTTTTCTTGAATCTCTAAAATAAGTTATAATAATAGTCTGCATACATATCGCACTTTTTCATTCATGGATCTCATCGCACTTTTCAAAGGTGGGTAGGTACTAATGTTCCCATTTTGGAGATGGAGTAATGGCAAAGTGAGGGTCTCATAGTAGTTCAGTACCAGGTCTAGGAACTGAACTCGGGTGTCCTTACTTTAAGCCCTCAGCTCAATCCAGTAGTCTTCTGCTAAGTGCACATTTTACAAGGTCAAAATGTTTTCTCCAGTACTGTAGGTCCAGGGGACTATGTATGCTATACTATCTGGTAAGGCCTGCTTCCCCTGGTTTAGCCAGCCTGTTCTGCGGGCTAATACAGAACTGGGGCAGGCCCAAGCTGGTAGTGCTTGGGATCACATTACATGACAACCCTTTGTGTGACTCCTTGGGCATAAATGTATAGTTCTGCATAATCAATAAACCACTTGTTCTAGCAGATATTCTGTTCTTTTAATACAGATTTTCTTCCAGATGTCATACTCCTGCTCTCTGATCAGAGTTCAGAATCACAAAATGTGAACTCTTTAATGATGGCTTCTCTTGTTTGCCTGTGTTTGGTGGGAAATGCAGAGCACTCATTTTGATATAAAGTGTATATTTCTGTGTGCAGTGTCCTTCGCTGACTGCATACCTTAACACTTCTCAGATACGCACTCCAAAAGCAGACAGGGATGTATTTAAAAAGAGAGTCTTGCCAGTTTAAATGTGTATTATGTATATATTTAAGAAGATGAAATATTGACAAAAAAAAGAAGAGTGCAAAAGGTAAGGCTGCCTGGAGGCTTGATTTTTAAAGATATGCATTTTTTTTCTTACCATGTTGCAGATCTCGCCTTGCAGATTTTTTCACAAACTGCCAGCCTGAGTCACGGTCTATTAGTAGCTGTCTGAAGGAAAACTATGCTGACTGCCTCCTCGCTTACTCGGGGCTTATTGGTAAGAGCTTTGCGGGGAGTGGGTGCTCTCTGAGTGTTGCTTGCAAATGGAACAAAAGAGTGACATCTTGAAGGCCTGCTGAAAACAAAAAATAAAGTTAATGCTCTGGGTCATATTGCGCCATGAGATTGTGGGCAGAATTCTCCTAATTAAATCAATGGCCCTTTGTTTTCTGGAGTAAATTGAGCTGTACAATAGCAAGAAGAAGAAGGGCAGAGGGTGAGGGAAAGAAATGGGCTTGACTGTGAAGAAAATCGGTATGGAAGCAAGTAGAAGTAAAGCTTGAAAACAAAGGGATTGATATTGGACAGGCCCATTGAGTAAAAGGTGAATAGAGTAAAAAGAGTAGGTGATACTAAAATTTGCTAGTGTTTGCTGTTATCAGAAAAGCAGGTGGTATTGACATATTTAGGGAACGCTTACCATGAATTGAAAAATGAGACCGCAATAGACCAAATCAGTCTCTTTTCACTTCCATCAGCTGTAGTTTTAATGATCTTCCTATGGCCCTTCAAACTGTTTTCTGAGATGCCTGTCCATGGAGGTGAACTTATCTCCTGAAATCCTCTCCTTCTCCAATAATTCGTTTTGCTCACTGCCACCTGCCTGACTCTCAACCAGGGGATGCTTATATGAAAGTCAAATTTCATATCCCACCCATGCTGTTTGATTCCTGATTGGGAGAACTCATCTCGGGGAAGGGAACTTTCCACAGAAATGTCATGGCTGGACAATAAAGAAAAAGGGGAGCATTAAGACTGTGAAACAAACAAATCACAAAAATGGTCACTAGGTAAGGGTGTTGTTGTTTTTTCAAGCTCACAGCCTGCACCTGCCATGATGCATTCATAGCCCCTTTTGTTAGGAGTGAAAGCCCCAGCCGAGCCCCTGAAGCATATCCTGCTGTTAAATAAATGTCTTCTGAAATATCATCCAGAACAAAACATGTACAGAATGGTCTGTTCTTGCTGGAAAATGAAATTAAAAGCAAGTCCTCAAAATGAATAAGGTAAATTATACATGGTGACTACTAAGAAAAGACATGGTAGTTTTAAAGACCACAGTCCAAGATTTAACAGAAAAAATAATATATAGAAAGCAAGACACAGGAGCAGTGACTGATAAAAATTCATTTGACTCGTGAACAAAGAACTGAGTAGCGAAGAAATCAGATTCAGTCAATGAAATTAAGGGTGGTAGCTGCTGACAAGGAGTAACTCTTGTACTAATGGATTACTCTGGATAAGAGCTGTTGGCAGATTGTTACTGGGCCTAGTGACTTTTGTAGAGGATTTTATTGGATCCATTTTGCAATTTAACCTTAAGGATGACCCAGTTCATGTAGAGAGGTGCTTTTGTGTTCCTATAGGCAATAATATTGCACAAATAGTATAACACTGCATAAACACTTTCTGACACCAGGGACGTGGAATGGGTCCCTAAGGAAGTGAAATCAAAAGGAGATCTAACTTCTGAAGGGGGAAATAAACATTTTTCTTCTCTCCTAACAGCCCCCAGACACATGCATGAAGATAGGAGCTGACTAGTGTTACAGCAGTTTACACTTCTCAACTGTAGTTCAGATAAACAAAGGAATGTACTAAAACAACCCTTCCTTGTTGTGGAACAAGAAGATCCTGATTCTGAGCTCAGTCAGACCAGTGTAGATCTGGAGTAAATTCATTAGCTTCAATAGAGAAACTCCAAATTTACAGCAGTCTAGATGAGACCAGAATCAGGGCCAGAGTCACCCTACTGACTATTATAAAATATATGGGAAGCAGAAAAATTTTGGTTAACTCTTTGTAGCATGCTATTTCAGGTTCATTCATCTAAATACCAGGCATCTCCAGCTGGCGTGGCTAAGAGAAACTACTGTTCATTAAAATAGAATGCTCTTCCATTTAGTTACTTCATAAGAGGTTGCATACAATTCTGAAGAGATGGCAGCAAGATTTTGTAACCGCTGCACTGTTTGTTTCGGGAACATGAAGGTTCTCTGAGGAATGGACAGTGGATCTGCCTCTGCTCTCACATACACTAATGTAAACTAGAGGCAACTCCACTGAAGTCAGTGGAATTAGAAGTAGAAGAAAACTGGTATAAATGAGAGTAGAGTCATGCCCATTGGCCGTAGGTGAGATGTTATACCAGTTAAATGGAAAATAGGTTGCCCCTACTGTTCAAACACAGCACAGAATTGGTTTATAGTAAAACTAAAACAAGTTTATTAACAAAACAGAATTGATTACGTGATACCAAGTAAAAGAGCTAAGTGTAGACATCGTTACAAGCAAATAAAAGTGGAAACACGCATTTAAAAGTCAAAAACTTAATCTATCAAGATACAGTCTTTGTTCAAGATGGCCTCTCTCACCCACAGTCTACTTTCCAGCTTTTCACTTGCTGGGTTGGCCAGGACCCATCACAGAAATCAAAACACTTGGTTTCTTTGTCTCCTTAAGGTGAAGGACAAAGCGGAGGTGGGGAAGGGGCCTCTGTCTGTTTCTTATATCCCAAAAGGGATTTCTTTGTTGTACAAGTCAGGAAGCCCTCTTGGGAATTCAGTCTCCTGTGATTCCCTGGGGTGCAGGAGCCATGTTAATTCTCTGTCTCTCAAGTTCAGGAACAGGATAAATAACCCCGGCTCGTTTACCTGGATAGCTTTGTTTACTGCTAATATTTAAAAAGAGGTTAAATCCATATTCCATTGTCTAGGGCAGGCAGACCTATGTATCACCTTAACCTAGGCTAGGCTGTCTTGTCTTAAACATGTTTTAGTAACATCTTACAGAGGGAATTTATAACTTCATACATAAGGTTAACACATGCATTTTACAATTATATTAATAACCAGCATGTTGTTAGCTTTCAGATGATCCCTCACAAGGCATATTTTGTGCAGATATTATTGCAGTAGTGTGTAGAGTGTGAATACAGGGGTGCCTAGAGTCACAAGCACATAATTCTGGATCTTGTTAAGAAATAAAAAGAAAAATAAATTAATGGAGATATCCCTTCTCCTAGAACTGGAAGGGACCTTGCAAGATCATTGAGTCCAGCCCCCTGCCTTCACTAGCAGGACCAAGTACTGATTTTGCCCCAGATCCCTAAGCGGGCCCCTCAAGGATTGAGCTCACAACCCTGGGTTTAGCAGGCCAATGCTCAAACCACTGAACTATTCCTCCCCCCAGTTATAATTAGCTGATCTTTAAACCGGGGCCCAATGACTTCTGTCATTCTGCATTCTTGCTGAGCTTGTGTTTCTTCTCTTTCTTCTACTTTGCTGACAGTCCTGTTGTAAAGCATATGTACTTAGTAATTTTAACAGTCTCTGCTAGGCCTGGGTCAATTCCTGTAGTCAAATTCCACATGTTCAGGATCACACCTCGGTTGGAGGAACTTACCGGTAGTTAAACTTTTTTTCATTCTTAAAAGATATTCTGATTTGAGCTGGGAGATGTGTTGAGGTTCGGGTCAGTTTTGCCTCTGCCTAATGCATGCCTTTGATGCCTGCTCCAGAGAACATGATACAGCATTTGGAAATAGTGACCACAACAGAGCTATTATGACCTATTTTACTCCCAACTGCCATGATTACCCTGCTCGGTTAATGTCCTTCAGCAGAATTTTCAAGAGGCCATCTTAAAACAAACAAAAAATTCCACACACAGGGGATAAAGAAATCCACCCAGGAAACCAAATATATAATCTACTTGGGTTCACATCTGCCCCCAGGTTTGAATGACAGACTTATTTTCTACTAGCTGCTCTTTCAGCCGCTCAATTTTTTCCTGTGTATACAGTTTATGTGCTGTATGTACACCTTCCTCATCCTGTCTTTCCTATAGTCACTGACCCTGACCACAGTTTGGCACCTTTTACACTTTCACCCTCTGTTTAGACCCACTTTTATGGCCTTATTACCTCTTCTTCTTGAAAGTCTTACCTTAGCAGCCTTCCAGCTTCCTTCATACCCTATTGCTTTCTAATTCTTTATCAAGTATTTTTATCATCAGTTTTTCTGATACTCGTCTATTTTCTTTCCATTAAAAAACTCTGGTTTTTCATTTTCTCTCTACATTACTTTCTTCTTTCCAGATCATAAATATCAGATAGTTGAAACAGTGGGCTGAAATCATCAAAGGAATAATGGGTAGATATTTTTCATTGCTTTATTTTAATTTAATAACATTCCTATTCTTATTTATCTACTGTTATATTTTCAGAAATAGTACAAGTGATATTTGCTGATTTTGCTATATTCCCCACCTGCATTTCATAAACAATTTGAACTGTTCTTCTTACACATATGCTGCTCTTCTGTAGACATTGGGTAATTATCACTACAACTTCTAGTTAAAAATTGAGAGTGGATAAAGTGATTGCACTCTACTTCAAAAAGATCTCAAAACACAATATATATATAATTTTGGTGATTCTTGTCATTTGCAGCTAACTTCAGTTCTGCATAACTTTCGGCATTTCTTTAAGACAGCTCATAATGTTTGTTTTTCTTTGTCTTCCATTTCATTCGTGAAACAATTTAAACATTCCTGTCAACGCCTGAAAGGTGCTCCCATAGTGCAGCATTTTCTATTGCTACACGTTGATGTGGTATTTGGCAGCCCCTTTTTTTGTGAGGATTATAAATTCTAAGGCTGTATGGACCCAGTTGGCCCCTCCAGTCTGCACTGTGGGTCTCTAATATGAATCTTCATCCATTCCACATGCCCAGCTACCACTGACAATATATTTGCTCTAGTGTGGAGCAGAGAGAAGTTTGCCCTGAATCTCCAGGCTACTGGGTGAGAGATGTAGGTCCCTAAATACATACTTTGCCAACGGCTGCCCTCATTAGTGCAATTCTGGACTAATTCCATTGACTTCTTGGGTTGGAATCAATGGAGTTATTTCAGATTTATACCAAGTTAACTAAAAGCAGAAGGGGAATATAAACTTTGAAAAATACTTGAAGAATGAGCCATTTAAAAATAATTAAGGGGATGATTGGTCAACCCTTACTCAAGTTTGTGAACGCTTCCTTAGACTAGGAATGACTTCGATGAGACTACTCATTTGACTAAGTGTTCACTAAAATGAATAAGGGCTACATAATCTAGATCAATTGAGGGCATTCTCAGTGTTTCCTTTAGGACAGGTAATGCATGTGTAGTACTTTGCAATTGTCTTTTTATTGAATTTCCTCTTGTTGATTTCAGACCAATTTTCCAATTTGTCAAGGTCATTTTGAATTCTGATCCTGTGTCCAAAGTACTAGCTACCCTGGCCAGTTTGGTATCATCCTCAGATTTTATAAACATAATCTCCACTACGTTATCCAAGTCATTAAAGGCATTGACACTAAAATCAAAGTTATTTGTAAATTGAAAGCTACAGGAAATAAATTCTAGCTAGTTATGAAGATTAATTTTATTGTTTCTGTGTTCCTCTCCTGCCAAACTGTGGGCAGAACCTTTCAGAACAGTGAAGTCCTGGTGTTAGCACCCCGTTGAGATGTATGGGGCAGTTCAGAACTTTCATAGCTATTGTTTCAGGCTATCTGCAAACTCATGTGAACATCTCAGCATCATTTACACTACAGTCAAGTTTTCACATATTTCTTCACAACCATAACAGCTAGAACCCTTTTTTTTTTTAAAATGAAAGCTGAGATTCTGCACTCAACACATGACTCTGAGAACTGGGGTCTTAGGCACCAGGCCTATAGTGTTTATGCCTTAATCCATCCCTGTTTCTGTTTTCCACTAGATGTTTGTCACTTCTTTGGGTAGTATGTATAAGGGTAGGACATTACAAAGATTACTGATGGTACAGTGTGTTGCTCTTTGTTAAAAGGCACAGTTATGACACCAAACTACATAGACTCCAACAGTCTCAGCGTTGCCCCGTGGTGTGACTGCAGCAACAGCGGTAACGACATAGAAGAATGCTTGAAATTTCTGAATTTCTTCCAGGACAATACATGCCTTAGTGAGTACAATATTATAAAATATCTTCAAACATATATTTGTTCATGTTGCAATGTGCTGTATTGGGTTGTTTCACCTAGTTTTTAAGTACAATGTGATACTTCAAGGCCATTTCTATGCATTTTGATAGATTGGATATGTAGTAGGTATAGAAACTAGAACTAAAAGTAGCAGAGCAAATCTACCTGATGTGCCATTCACGGCCAAGCTTGTAAACGTGAGAAACTGTGGGAGATAATTCCAAATAACAGTGGTACATAATGTGGAAAAATTCTTTTACCCACAGATTATATTTTGGGTGGCCATCAGGGAAGGTCTCTACCAGAAAATTGCAAGATCTAAGTGGGTTGTGTATAATGTGAGAAATAGGCTATGAAGGGTTTCATATAGATATATATGAATTGGGATTTTATTATCAATAGTTTCTCAGATTCTTGAAATTTGGTCACAAACTTCACTCAAATTATCTTGTTCACAACGAGATCCTGATACAGCAATTTCATTGAGTTTGTTACATTATGGTTTTAATAGCCCAACTTACTTTCAGTTGAGGGTCTCTGAGAAGTCAGTTTTGGTAGGCTTCCTTTCACCAGCAGCCTTATAACTCAATGACAGGGAGCATACACCAGAATTTGAATTTCAGAGAAAGTGTTTATTGCTGATGTAGGGCAATACAACATTTAAGGTAGTCAGAAGAGTGATACATCACTCAAACTTGGTCACCGCTTAAAAAAAAACAACCCAGAAAGTTATATTAGCAGTGGGTCTGAGGTAGCGCATTCTCTAGTTGGGGATAGGGGAGTTATAGTGAAATTCCATCACTGGGCTATCAAAGACCCTGCACTTCTCTAAGATGTTGTTTCTAAGAATCTTGCAGTGGTTTGTAGGGTATGTGTAGCTACATGCCGCAGTGAAAGGCTCCAAAAGCTCCCTACTGCCAGAACCTTTCCCCGCCTGTCTTACCCCTGCCAGAGCCTTTCACCACTGCTTGCTTCTTTCAGTGCAGTGGGGAAAGGCTCTGGAGATGGGAAGGCAGCAGAACACTACACTGCTAAAAATAGCAGTGTGGACAGGTGAGGCTCTGTTTCAACATGTGAAGAGCTGTGTAAGATATATAACCTTGTGTTCAGATGTGTAGGGCACAGTACTCTACTCACTTAAGCAGTGCCTCATTGTATACGCTGTTATTTATACCTGTTCTAGCTGGGCAGGCAGTGTTAGTACTCTCCACACCATCGAAGATGTTGACTGCCCTAAGACCATTTTTATCTTTTGCCTCTACGCAGCAGTCTCTCAACATGCAATACTTCCATTAAGCATCAGGAGTTCTGTGTGCAGAACGATGACAGGATTGAGCCCTATTTGTTAAAAGCCTTGGAAGGATTGCTACACAGGAAAGGTTAATGTAGATCATTGGTTAAGCAATCAGTTCTGAGTGGGATTCTAAATGAGACAGGGGACCTGTATAGCATCCATTCTTTCTCCAAACTGCCTCTCATACATATAACATTTCATATTTTGCTAATTTGTAAATGTGTTCATTAGTCATTACTATCATGTTAAAAGTTCCTTTTAGACTTTAAGTGTACACCAATCCCTTTGTCTCTGCTGGAATAAAAAGTTTAATGACTATAAAGCAGTGACATTAAAGGTCTCTGTGAGAAAAAATTATACTTGCCCTCGCAGGGAAACCTCTTTCTCATGAAAAAATTAAAATTAAAGGTGTTCCTGGTTTAGGTAGCATTTCACAGAGGGAGAAAAAGTGTTCTCGTGTCTTTTCATAAATGGCCTTTCAACATGGGGGAAAAAAACATTTGTTTCAGAACAAAGACTAAAAAAATCAGTTTTAATTTTTAAGTATAGGGTTATTTACATGTATTCTGCGGTTGGAAAATTAAGAATTATAGGTCCCGATCCTTCAAACACACATGCATAACTGTATGAATGTGAGTTGTCCTGCTGAAGTAAAAAGAAATACTCACACGTGTTAAATAAAGTGCATGTGTGTTTGCAGAATCTGGGCCTTACGTGAAAATGGCCAGTCTTTAAAAAGCCAGGAGCCCAAATTTCTAAGGCCTAAATGATAGTACGTTTTGAAATCCCAACCAGTGTTCCTTTAATTCTGTTATAACTCCCTGTGGCACCTTTTAAAAAAGGTTGTCCTATTTCAAATCCTAAAGTCCTTTATTAAACTTTATTTTTATTAATATTTTAAATATTCTTATAATACACACGGTGTTGCTTATTCTGCACACTATGGCCTCGATCCTGCATACACTTGTGCCCTGGATAATCCCACTGAATTCAGTGGGACTTAAGTTATCCAGGGGTGTAAGTGTTTTGGAGGATTTGGGCTTACATACTAGATGGTGGAGTAGAGGGGAAGCACTGGCAAGCCAGGGGCAAAAGTGAGTTAATACAGATGATTGAAACGGTCGGCCATCTACTAGAGCAGTTCAGCGTTTGCTGTGACATCTTATTATGTTCGTCTGCTGTGTTATAGTTGTAAAATTCATGCACATTGTTACAAAAATATAGATACACAGAAGGAGGAAAAAAGAAAAGAGAGAGTTATAAGGGTAATTTTATTTTAAAAACTTGAGGATGCCTCCATATTCTCCTGTAGCTTCTCCTACAGCACACTATTTAATTTACATAATTATTTAGTCTCCTATGGCATTTACTCTGTGAAAAATACTGCAGCTTACCTTGTTTAAGAGAGAATGCTGGACAGGAAAATCCTTTCATACTGTTCTCACTTTGCCCCCCCATCAGTCCAACCAATTGTAATGCCTTTTTTATGAATCAATTTCTGTTTGTTGGAACGCTAAGATCAAATTCTAGAATAAACTGCATCTTTCTAAGATGAGGGGTAAATGTAAATTATTTTATAGTGAGATGGGTGCCAGTGAAGAGTATTGTTAATAACTTCCCCATTCAAGTCCCATGTGAAATTGTTTGCTTTTTTATACAGTGAGTGTGGAATAAAAAATCCCTAAATCCATGCTGAATCCCCAAAGACCTGATTAAAAACTGTTTTTCTATTCATTTGTATAAAAAACCCACAACCAATTTACCCTTGCCATAAACACACTCTTTAATCCCGTGAAATTGATAAGCTTTTTAACCTTTATATTCTAAACTTTTAGTTTAAGCACACTTCTCTCACTTTGTTTTGTAGATTTTGTCTGGAAACAGGAAGGGAAAGATCATCTTAGTTAAACAGTCCCTTGTTTCTGGGCACATTGGTTTTAAAAGCAAGCTGTGGAAATAAGTCAATATATTGCCTGCTATTTGTTTGGCTTGTTACATAATATAATTTATCAGAATTAGGACACAATATTCATATTGTACCTTAAGTCTCACCAGTTAAGTTTTTTGAAGCTTTTGAATGGCATGCTAATTTGCTCACAGAAGATTTAGGGTTTTGAGCTTCCATAAATAATGTCTGAAAATATTTCAGGGAGAATTTAGCAATAGATAAACCTGTGGCCCCAAAATTCACATTTCTTGCATGTATTCAAAATACATTGAAACTAGCTTTTCAATATAAAAAACGTGAGTTTGGACGAATAAGGACAAGATTTTGCCTGGGAGAGCATTTTTGGAGTTATTTCTGTTCTATGGCATCAGGGTATTTTTAATGCCAATTCTGCTGTTTGTGGCATTGGTTTATATGCAGAATTTTCTCTATATTTGTTTTCTACAGAAAATGCAATTCAGGCCTTCGGCAATGGTACAGATGTGACTGTGTGGCAGCCAATCCTACCAGTACAAACCACCACAGCAACAACTACGACAGCTTCCAGATTTAAAAACATGGGCTCAGAGAGCACCAACAATGAAATACCCACCCACAATGATTTACCAGCATGTGCAAATCTGCAGGTAAGATTGCTTCATAAGTGCTACACTGAGACAGCAATATAAATGTGCGAAATGGAAAAAAGGAAATTGTTATTGATATAGAATCTGTCACCCCTGCCTGCTGCATACGTATACAGATATCCAGATAGACTTGAATTAATCTGTATTCTGCTCTGTTGATTCTAATGTTGAGGTTGTTTACCCCATATTTTGTAATATGTTAGACACTCTTATTTTAAATAAGAAACATAAATAAGAATAGGTTGTACTGGTACAGTAACCCAGGAACAGGACATAGTTATTTAGTGGAACCACAGCTTTGAATATGGAATTGGCATTCCTGCTACCCAGCCAATATAGACCAAATAGAGATGATGCACTCAATCATTCAAATTCAAAGGTTACACTGAGTGTGAACTAATGTACCTTGCATCATCTTCTTGGCCCTTCATCATGTTAGTTACACCGACTTAGACTCATTTAGACTAAGTGAATGTGAACATAAGCGTGTACGTTGGTATAACTGACATGGGAAAGGGGAAAACGATATAAATCACACATACTCCCCTCTGAATTGGGCCCAGTGTCCTGCTTCAGTTAGTCAATTCATGGTGTGGCATTGATTCTGAATTTTAAAGAGGCTAATCACTTGCCCAAGGCCATAAATGCAGCTATCAGAAAATTACAGAATTTGGGCAGGAAAGAACCACAAAATTTTGGCGGGGGAGAACATGAGGTGAAAGAAAATTTAAACTGAAAACATCTCTAGGCCAGAGGATTTTAGAAATCCTGTATTATAAAGATTTCTGGTTGTTTAAAGATACTGACTTTGCTCAAGGACAGATCTGCTTGGCCCACTTTTAGTTTTGTCTTCACAGTGGGACAATAGCCATGTGACACAAACGAACTGCTTTCAGCTTTGTTATGAAAGTTCCTATCTGACATGAATTTGGTTTTACACTGGACAGCCAAACTATGAATCATAGGGCTAGAAGGGACCTCAAGGATCAAGTCTACCCCCCCTTCCCCGCTGCCAAAATGCAGGATTTGTGTCTAAACCATCCAAGAACTAACAGTCATTGTTTCCCTATGAGATAACTTTTATATTTTTCTTACTTATAAATTGTTTGTTTGTTGTATTTTTACTGTCAGAAAATATCAGTGTCCACATTTATTTCCAGGGACAATTTATATATCTCAAGATTTTCCCAGCCTTTATTCTGCTTCCTCACTTTTCCTATACCATTTCCCCAACACCAACTCCTTTTAGTTTCTCCCTTTACTTGGCATGTCAAGTGGGCAAACTTCATATAAACCTAATACATTTCACAGGTGTCATTTACTTGGAAGATATCTTGGGGTTAATGATGGTGAGAATTACTTTTCTCTTCTTTTTTTTAACTGTGATTTTGCATATCTGTATTTTCATTATTAGTCAAGCTCTGTAAGTTATTGCTAATTAACAAGGGACATATTTACATAGGCATTAGCCACTTGATTTGAAAAAAAATATTCATGTTAAAAAAGAAATACAACTATTAAAAAATTCTTGTGTTTAAAAACAAAAAATTCATGGCAAAAACATTAATTCACTTCATATTATATTTAATAAGTTGCATCGATGAGTATTTCTTCTTTTGAGCAGGGATCATGTCTATATTCCCTGTTTGTACTGCCCCTAGCAGATCAGGGCCTCTCAGTGCTACCAAAGTACACAAAATAAATATTGGATTGGAAATGGCAGACTATCACAAATCCCATTGATTTCAGTTGGAGTTCTGAATGCTCAACACCTTTGAAAATCAAGCCATTTTTCCAGGTAACTGAATTAGCCTCCACTGTCTTCCCTCCCTCCCTGCCCCAGTCCTCTAGCATTTTAAAAGTCACATTATCATCTCAGTCAGTCAGCACTGTTTGGGGCAATATCTTTACAAGTACCACTGATATGGGTAGGTCAGGAGTGACATAGGCGTAAATGTCTCTGTAGAGAACAGTCAACCTTACAGAACTGATCTGCTAGTGTTTAGAATTTAGCTATATCCATTTTCAGAAGTACCTGAAGTTATCTGAGCCAAATAGCTTTATCTTTTATGAGATGTAACATTCCAGTATCAGCACCTTCCTTGCCTCATAACTGAAACCAAACGTTTAATAATGGAAAGTTTAAACCAATCGAATGAGGTTACCCTGTTGTTTTTTATTGAACATACATTTGTCAGACAATGTGGTGCTACTTTGAATATGAAACTTAAAGTTAAACTCTAAAATATTATAAAGGAACCAAGCTAGTGGAGACATTTCGACAAGCTGTATTGTTCGTATGATCACCTCCCATGAGAAGTGTTCCTTTGTAATATTTTCAGAACCTGCACTAGCACTACTGAGAGCACTCTAAGGGGCTTTGTTATAGTCTTAGTGTTGGAGATCGAAGACTCTTAAAAAAAGAGAATACAGCATAAAAATTATGAAAAGAAGAATTAAAGGTAAAAGCATCAATACAACAAGACAATTACATTTTAAGAGAAAATGAAAATGATCATTCAGAGGATGTTAAGTCTTCAGATCATGGTAGGTACAGGGTTGGTTTTTTTCATACAACACAAAGGGGGGTGGGGTGACGAATGAATTGATTAGTATAAAATGTCATAGAAATGACTAAGTACTAACCTCCTGAGGTTGTAAAATATAGGGCATTAGGTAGCCTGCCAAACTGCCATGTCAGAAATAATTGGCAATCATATTAGTAACAAGAATGACACTGGCTGAGCTATTGTCGGTGCATTTTTTCTGACTTCTTCAATGTCCTATGGAAAAGACATTAATAGTTTCATCAATTGGTATGATCTCTGGTTTACACACATTTTCGAGGTGCCAGAAATGCTGGGGATGTTTAAACAAAATGTATACTTGCTGTTTATCTAAAGTCAATATTTACTTCAAATATTCGTTGGAGGTTTAAAATCATTTTTTGCTATAGTGATATCATTTTTAAATTGTTCTTCATGTAAAATTACCACTTATAGAGACTCTCCAGGTTCTTGAATTATAATATTCTTGTAATTTCTTTTTCAAATTGGAATACTGAAATGTTGACTTCTGATGGAGGCTTTTGCTTTAGGTTTTCTGCTAGTTTGCAAGTGAATTACTTTATTAGCATAATATACTCTATTATGTCCCAAAATTATCTCAGTACTTCATGTTTATCAGGTGGACGCCTGACTTCAACAATACTTATAAGCACTTCAATATAACCTGTTTCTAGGGAAGTTCCCCAATGCCTGCAAAAAATAAAAAATAAAGTGGCCAGTGGCTAGATCTATATAAAATGCTCAGCACTTTATAATTGCTGCTCAGCGCTCAAGGGATCAGGCCATAAAATATTGTGTACAAAACGCACATGAAAAGGAGAGAAAAGAAAAATGTGAGTATTAGTAGCTTGAGCCTTGTGTGGATGAACTGGTTTCAAATAATACTTTAAAAAGCTTTCTTGTGGCTTTTCTCCATGTTTAGTTCTCTTTCACTGCCATCTTCGGCACCTAGTCTAGTTCTTCTGCATAACCTGTTTCCAGCACTGGGTGTGATCAGTTAGCAAATGTGAAAAATCGGGCCAGGCACAGAAGAATAATAGGCACCTACATAAGACAAAGCCCAGAATATTGGAACTGTCCCTATAAAATCAGGACATCTGGTCACCCTAGCAGCATTCCATCCAAAAATGGACCTCTCACTCCAGCCCAGCATATCTCCATTGGCTGTGCATCTGCTCAAGATTTAGTATTAAATCCCGCTCCCCAGTGTCTTTGGATGTATAGAGGGCCAAGGTGAGGCCAATAATGAAGTTTGGCAGGACAACCACATAGAAATAAATGGTCATAGTAATATGATATTTAAATGATATATGAATTATTGTATACATTTGATCTATGATATCAGTAAATACAGAACAAGAAGAATTAATGACTCTTGTGGCGAGAGGTGGAATGTTTTAGTAAATATGTTGTAACTGAAGATTGTGTTAATTTAATCGAAATTGCTGTGTTTTCACCAAAATTTTGCACAACAAACGCCAGCTACTTACCAGTCAGTTGCACAGTTTCCCTTAGGGCATTCATTATAAAGGCCTTGATCCTTCAAGCCCTTGTACAGCATGCTGAAGGGAGTGTAAGATTTTGGTGCTCCTGTACAAATGTGGACAGTGGATGCAAATATAATTCAATACAAAGCATGGACCTTCAGACTGAGGGCAAATAACTCTGGGGCTCCTTGTGCACTTGTTCTTGTACTCTCAAAAGCACATATTAAAAAAGGCAGAAGGAAATGGGAATATTTCAGTAATGTCAACTTCAACCGTTCAAAGATTGTCAGAAACAAACCATCCTGATATTTGCTTAAAATAATGAAATAAAAAAAATAATTTGAGGTGCTTTTTTATTTGCCTTCTAGTTTTTGAGTCTTTAAAATACACTTGAGTCACATTTTCAAGCTTTTCTCCTCAGCAAATGAGGGTTGCAAGCAACTTTTTTTTTTAAATGAAAGCTGAGATTTTCACGTATTCCCGTGACTCCAGGAGCTGAGGCTTTAAGAAAGTCACCAAATATTGCAAGACTTGTGATAAAAAGTTTGTGGAGACTGAGGCCAATGCACAATTTACATGATGCAAATGAAGCACTTAACTATACTCCTTACTCAGAGGCCGGAGTGTTGCAGGTGCTCAGCCCCAATCAGTTTCTGTCCAGTGCTTGCGGGCAGAATCCTGTCTATAATTATTTAATGTTTGCAAGTACATAAATGTTAAATAATATTTCTGTAAAGTAGGTATTGGTAGAGGGTTAAAAGCTATAGTGTAGTGCTCTGAATATCAAGCCGCAACAGGTGTGCAGCTTCATGGATTGGTAATTGGGTGGTGGGTGAACATAAATAGGAAGCACAGTGAGAATGTAGGTGTTCTGTTGATGTGGGAACAGTACAAATGCTGAGGCTGTGCTCTGAATAAAGACACACTGAACTTTATTCCTCTGTGC